CTGAGCTCAAACAATCCGCCCGCCTCGGCCTCCCAGAGAGCTAGGATTACAGGCATGAGCCACCGCGCCCGGCCAATTTTATTTAATTCTTAAAAAATTTTTTTAGCAATGATGGGGGTGCAGCTGCTATTCACGGAAGCAGCCACAGCACACTGCAGCCTCCAGCGCCTGGCCTCAAGCGATTTTCCCGCATAACTGGACTAAGGGCGTGCACCGCCGTGCCCAGCTCTCTCTCTGCTTTGACTCATTTAGGACATCTCTAACCTTTTTCCTTTTTTTAAAGAGACAAGGTCTCCCTATGCTGTCTCTGAGTACATGTGCATCTCTTTAGATGAGAAAGTTGTAAGCATTTGGTTTAGAATTCTAGCACATGTTGCTGGTATACAAGAAATTTGTGGGCTGGGTGCAGTGGCTCACGCTTGTAATCCCAACACTCTGGGAGGCTGAGGCATGCTGGAGGATCGCTTGAAGCCAGGAGTTGGAGTTTAAGACCAGCCTGGGCAACATAGTGAGACTTCATCTCTACAAAAAATTTAAAAAATTAGCCAGATGTGGTGGTACAGGCCTATAGTCTCAGCTACTCAGGAGGCTGAGGGAGGAGTTTGGCTTGAGCCTAGGAGTTCAAGGCTGCAGTGAACTGCGACGGTGCCACTACACTCCAGCCTGGATGCCAGGGCAAGACCTTGTCTCAAAAAAAACAAGAAAAAGGAAATCTGTATCTATTTCTTAGGATCTGTGTATTAAAGCAGTGCAACCATAACCAAACCCTGGTTAGTGCTTTTATTCTTCATAGATACCTTTGGTAGATGGTTTGGAAGCCCTAGCTTTAGATAGCTGGCTAATCAACTTGTAAAACTGAAAAGTAATCTTTCAAAGTAGAAATTAATTAGGGAGATGCTAATTTATCTTCCAGGTCCCCTTCAATGCAGTCGCACTCAGGATTACCCACTCTGACGTCGCCCCTACCCACATCCTGTATGCTGTCAATGCCAGCTGGGTTGCACTTTGCAAGATCCTGGATGACGTCAGAGGGTACACGAATGGGCCGATCCTGCTTGCCCAGACTCCAATCTGTGATTGTTTGGGGTTTGGTGAGTCTGAGAGGAAAACATGCCTATAAACCTGCCCAAAATGGATCCCCGTCTTCAGCTGTGGATGACTGGTCTTGACCTTGTAGCTCTCTCTCAGCTGGAGAGGTCAGAGAGCTCCTCACTCTTCTGTACTGCGTGCCTCAGGGGTTGGAGGCCAGGAAGGAAGCAGCCCTTTCTCTGCCTCTCCTGCCAGCTCCTCTAAATTGGGATTCCCGAGGGCCCATCCTGCTCCTCTTCTCACTCGACACCTTTCCCCAAGGCTGTCAGGTGCACTGCTGGGCTTTCGATCTTTGTCTTTACGCTGGCTCTCCGTAGTATCCGTCTAGCACAGCTCTGCATCTGCCTTCCAAACCCAGGTGCTGGTGGACCTCTGCACTTGGGGGTCTCCCTGGCATCTAAAACACACTTTCAAAGCTGAGGCTCTCTCCTCCCACCCCACCACCCACTCCTCTGCCGGGTCCGCGCAGAGTTCCTCGGGAGACTGACACAAGCTCAGGTCGAACCCCAGCTCCTCCTTGGCGTCCCCTCACCTTCATTTCCATTTTCAGCCCGTGAATAGGACTGGTGGCTTCTGTTTTCACAACACGTCAGGTTGTCCACCTCTTGTCACCATGCTAGTTAGCCATCGGCATTTCCGCACTGGGCCACTGAGAAAGCTGCTTGGTTGGATCCTCCACTTCCACCCCCCAGTCAGGAGTGACCAGAACACAGACAGTTAGTGCCACAGGGTGGCACTTCTCATTGCTCAGATCTGGGATCTGGACCAAGGCTCAAGGTGTCCAGAAGGATTAGGTCCCTGCCACCTTCACCATCCCTGGCTCCCCAAGGTCAATCAATGACAGTATATAGTTTTGAAAGGGTGTTGGAACTAAGTAACCCTAAATTAACAAAATTCTTAATTAAATGCGTGTTTCAGGCTGGGCGCGGTGGCTCACGCCTGTAATCCTAGCACTCTGGGAGGCCGAGGTGGGCGGATTGTTTGAGCTCAGGAGTTCGAGACCAGCCTGAGCAAGAGCAAGACCCCGTCTCTACTAAAATTAGAAAGATATTAATCGGACAACTAAAAACATATAGAAAAAATTAGCCAGGCATGGTGGCGCATGCCTGTAGTCCCAGCTACTCGGGAGGCTGAGGCAGAAGGATCGCTTGAGCCCAGGAGTTTGAGGTTGCTGTGAGCTAGGCTGACGCCATGGCACTCACTCTAGCCAGGGCAACAGAGTGAGACTCTGTCTAAAAAAAAAAAAAAAAAATGCGTGTTTCAGATTTGTGCAACACTGTACTTCCCAGAAGCATTTCCACAGAAACTCACTTAACACAGACCGTAAAGAAGGAATGGTGATGGGGAAAGATGTCATCGTCATTGTGCTTCTCCATGATGGCTTTTCTCTTTGACCTTTGCTCCCCTGAACTAAAACTACGTAGGCCTTCTGCATGTAACCCACTTTTGTTCCTCACAGCTGAACAAAGGGAAGGTATAAAAAATCTTTGCGTTTTCAAGTACTCCATCTCTTGGTTTTCTTACATTTTCCAAGCAAAGTTTTCAAGTTTCCAGTTGAAGTTGAAACTTATTTTCAAAGCCATTCTGCAGTTTCTATGGTGGGGAGGTTTACTGTCTTCTGGAAAGGGTGATCTTTGTGTTGTCTTGCAGGCATCTGTAGAGGCATTGACATGGAGAAGCGGCTGTACCACATCCTCACCCCTGTACCCCCGGAAGAGCTAAGAACTGTGAATTGTCTGCTTGTTGGAGCTGTTTCCGTTCCACACTGTGTCTTCAAGAACCAGGTGAGCCTGACCCAGGGCACAGCCCGGGAGGGAGCCCGGCCGGGTCCACAGGAAGTGGGGAGCTTCAGTTGGCTGAGAGTCACAGGAACAAGGCTATCTGTCTGGGAAATCTGTGCTTTGTTTTAGATCCTCAGTGAGGCAAGACGCTGTCAGGGTGGCCTCTAGGGCCCAAGATTGTGCATTGCTGTCACGTGGAGTCCAGAGCCCTGTGGCAGAGCCATTACCATGGGAGGAGGTTGTGTTGGAGAGAGTAGAGGTGCCTCCCCAGGATTACCCTTCTTGAGGACAGTCTTCAGATGAACCCATAGCTGGGGCTTGCTGGCCAAAGGTGTCTGTGTGGCCCTCAGCGACAGCCACAGAGGCTGCACGTGGGCTGGGGGCAGTGGGTGTTCCTGCCATTCTCACCTGCTTGTTTCACTTACTGGGACGGAAGCACACGCCACACCCACTTGCTCTCATGCTGTCTGATGAGCGTGTGGGATTGAGCCAGACAGAAGGGCACAGGCACAGTTGTTATGGGGCCAGTTGCTCTATGGGGGGCCTTTGAGGGAAAGGATCAAATGCCTTATGAGAGCAAGACGTCCTCTGGCTCTCATTTTCACACTGTCTTCCGGGTGAGAAATAAAACACCAAAAACCCTTCCAGGCTCTATCTAGAGCATTTCTATGCATTCTCTTTGCGTTTTCATTTTAGCACGGGCTCGAAGGGACAATACCTTACGTCACAACAGATTACAATTTTAAACTTCCTGGAGCGTCAGAGAAAGTTGGAGCAAGAGAAGCTGAGGAAAGACATAGAGGGAAACTACACCCGAAAGCTAAGCACTATCGAAAATAAACTGACGCTGATGTTCTTACTGAGAGAGGACACTTGTCTACCAGGAAGCTTTGTCTCAAGCCTGACAACAAGAGACTTGAAGGGGTTTTGTGGCTGTGAATGGAGCTCTTGTGTAGCAAGAGTGCTCAGTGTGACTTGTGTGATAGTTTTAAGTTTCTCTTTTAAAGCTACATGAGCTAGAATTTTCCCTAGTCTTCTGCATGGTCGCTCACGCTTGCTGTCTGGTGTGTTTTCTAAAAGGATTTAATGCAGCAGGGGAAGTTTGTATGCCATTAAAAACAGAATACAGTTGATTCCTCCAAACGTTCTTCAAGGACCTGGTTATTGGAATCAGGATAAAAATAGGGAAACTGGGGCCACAAAAGTGTACCAGGAAGGAAGGAGGAAGGCTGACCTGTGGGGTCGCCCTCACCTGAGCCACGTGCACACTGAGGGGCCTACGTGGGTAGTCACGACACTGGGTGGTCATTCCTTCTTCTGTTCACTTGATGCCACTGTGTTTGGTCCATCTCATTCAATCAAGGTTTAATAGATAAAAGTTTGGACTCAAGAGCCCTTCGTTTTTTTGTTTTTTTTTTTTAAACTGTGGTTTTGTGCTGAAGAAATTGCTTTCAAATCCGGAAAGCGTCTTCAGGGGGCTTTTTTTTTTTTTTTTGAGACAGAGTCTCACTCTGTTGCCCAGGCTAGAGTGCCGTGGCATCAGTCTAGCTCACAGCAACCTCAAACTCCTGGGCTCAAGCAATCCTCCTGCCTCAGCCTCCCAAGTAGCTGGGACTACAGGCATGCGCCACCATGCCCAGCTAATTTTTTTCTCTCTATATATATTTTTAGTTGTCCAGATCATTTATTTCTATTTTTAGTAGAGACGGGGTCTCGCTCTTGCTCAGGCTGGTCTCGAACTCCTGACCTTGAGCGATCCACCTGCCTCGGCCTCCCAGAGTGCTAGGATTACAGGCGTGAGCCACCGCACCCGGCCTTGGGGCTTTTTAAAAGTTGATTTGTCCTATTTGACTTCTCATCTGAGGCCAAAGACACAACTGTGGGGCAGAACTGTTTGGAAGAAGGACTGTCAGGCCAGCTCTTGTGCAAGGCCCCAGTGTTGCCTGTGGGCAGCTGGACCTGAATTGAACATCGGCGGCTCTGCGCCATTGAGAGCTCCGTGCCGGGCCAGGAGGCTGAGATGATGCCGTTCTTCATGCTCTTCGTGGTGCTTGGGATTCTTTGTCCTCTAATGTTGGACGTGGTTTTTGTAAAAAGGATGATGGAGCCGGGTCATGTCATTTCTGTGTGTGAACCAGCGGCATATTTGTTGAGGCAGCATTTCAGACTGGTGTGACCGCCATTCCGTGGAATTCCGGCTTCCCAGTACGATCATGTTGAATGGCTGTTACTGGGATGTGTGGGTCTTCACTTTTGTGTTCATTTCAACTGTTGTCACTGATGTTACTGTCCTGAGTATGTTGTGGTGGCCCCTCAGCAAAGGACTTAAGCACAGGAACCCTTGTCACCATGGTTTGTTTTAATACCCTAGAAGACCATTGAGTCTAACTTCTTAGTTACCTCTTATTTACATCTAAATTTAGCTTGTTTGTATCATGTTTTACTATTTTGGCCTTGCAAAGAATTACAGGACTCTACCCCCATCAGCTTTTGCCTCTTTCCCCTGTTCCCATGTCTTACGCCAATACCCACTATTGGTCATTAGCAGCAAGTCTCTGGGAGAATGAGATTATAGTGGTGCCCTATAAATTTGCTTTTTCATTAAATTCAGGTTTGCCTTTAACTTTTAAATGCTGGCCTTTAAGGATGTCATGTCTCTCTCCAGTCCTCATCAGTAAAGGAAAAAACGTTGCCCCTAGAGGGAGCTGTCAGCCATCTGTTAGTGGCTGTACTGGGGCTAGAGTTGGCCGGGAAGCCAGGAAGCTGTACAGGGCTTTGGCCAGGAGATTCCGAGATCCTGGAGACTTGGCTCTGGTCGGCCCCAGGGTGTGCCTGGTCAGACCTGCTACAGTGCCATCCGCCTTGGATGTGCATCCATTCGATTATCAATGCCAGTGGCTTTAAGGGTATTCAAAGAAAGGAGGAGATTGTATTTTTTGTCCTTCCTGCAGTCTGTTATGGTTCAGAATAGGTAGTAAAGAGTTCTCCATTGGAGTTATTTATTTGTTTGTATTTAGAAACGGTCTCACTCTGTTGCCCAGGCTGGAGTGCAGTGACGAGATCATAGCTCACTGCAGCCTCAAACTCCTGGGCCCAAGTTATCCTCCCGCCTCAGCCTCCCTAGTAGCTGGGACTGTAGGTGCACACACCACCATACCCAGCTAATTTTTAAAAATTTTTGTAGAGACAGGGTCTCACTATGTTGCCCAGGCTGGTCTTGAGCTCCTGGCCTTGAGCTCCTGGCCTCAAGTGATCCTTCTGCCTCAGCCTCCCAAAGTGCTGGGATTACAGGTGTGAGTCACTGTGCCCAGCCTCCATTGGAGTTATTCTTTACAAAAACTCATAATCATTTTCTGTGTGATTTCTAAAGTAGTACATGCTTATTTTAAGAAAATTACAGAAATATACAACTTAGGAAATGAGAACCCTTAGTGGTCAATTTTTGTGGTTCTTTAAAATCAGTTCTTTTAAAGAGATCCATTCAGAGGAAAAACAGATATGAAAATTAGATTCTCACATTCTAGGATTTGTTTTATTTCATAAACTAGTTCTTTTTTCCCTGTCTGTCCTACTGTTGGGCCTTCTCAGAAGCTGGAATCCCTGTATCCTCTGCAACCATCTCTTGGAAATTAAAGATTCAAGAAAGGAGAGAAGGATATTTGAAGAGGCTCTTCAAGTGCCTCAGACTAAGCTTTTTCAGTGCCTGCCTGGACGGGGCTTGTTGGAGAAGGCGAGGCCCTGGGCTGAGCCGGGGAGCCCATGCCCTCCACTGACCCCTTTGATGATCAGTTAGCCAGACATCTAGGTTTCTGCCTGCCAGGTGTGAGGACCAAACGACATGGGTAAGGGGTTCCTTTTTTGTACCAGATGGTGATTTTTTAAAATTGTGTAATTGGTAGGTTTTTTAGGGGGTTTTTGGCTTTTTTTTTGTTTGGATGGCAATATAGTGGTTAAGATAGCAGGCTTTGATGTTAGAGCTCTGAGTTTGAATCTTGGCTCCCGCTTGCCTAGCAGTGTAACTTTGAGGGAAATAGTCAACCCGAGCCTGTTTCCTTCTTTGAAGACGGGGTAATTGTTCTTCCCTCAGCGTTCCTGGGTAAGGAGTAAGTGAGGTCATGGCCATAAGAGGCTTAGCAGTCTTCCACAAGTAGAAAATGGTCAGTGGGTCTTAGTATATGGCCTCTGATTCGACTGGAAACTCGTGGAAGGCAGGCACCAAAATTGTATTCCTCACAGTCGTGCTGGAGTGACACAGAAACGAAACATTGGAATCCACAGCTGCTCCTCCTGCCTCCAGGCAGATTCACCTTAAAATTGCTCTCGCTGCCCAGACCTGTGGTCAGAGGGCCCTGGGGAAGCAGGTGGCATGGCCACCATCGGTAACCCGTTCATGGAAATTTTCATAAACCCCCAATCATTGCTGTAAAAATGTTAATAACAGCTCCCATGTGTAGAAAATGATCCTGCAGTCCCCCACCACGCAGACAACGCTGTGAATACTGCAAGGCTACCTTTCCTGGTGTTTTTCTACGCGTGTGTGTTTTATAAAATTGGTGTCCTACTGTATGATTTGTATCCAGTTCTTTTAACATATGAGCCACTGTATCAATAAATATTTTTGAGAATATGAATTTGTTTGATTTCATTGTCTAGACCAATTTATTCTAGGAGATTACTTAAATGATTAGGAGAAATTATGGCAAAAAAAACATTGGAAAGGAAAAAAAAGTTGAAAGGCGGTTAGTGAAATCTGGGTGCTAGAGTGGGAGCACTTAGGAGGCTCCAGCAGATGCCTGTTTTATTTTCATTTCGGTGTTGGGTGCAGTGAGAGTTTAATTTTCCTGTCTTGGCCCATTTGTAAGTTAAGAGAGGTGCTGTAACCTCTCTGGACTGTCTTTGAGAGAGTATTTGACGGAAACGGGTTTTGCTCCCAGAAGAATTCACAAAAAGCAAAAGCCCCTGTAGGGTCCGTGCGGGTATCTGGTCCTCAGCAGCGAGGGCTCAGCCCCTTGGCCGTCCTGCTCCCCGCTGGGTTGGGCCTGGCAGAAAAAACGAGACTTGGCCAACAAGCCCAGCCTGAACAGTGGCTAAAATAAATATGGGGGCCATCTGTGCAGTGGGGGGAAAGCCCACGTGATGTTCAGGGCCTCCTAAAAGACCTCGTTAAGTATTCCCGAGGCGTTGCCAGGAAAAGAGTGGGCTGGGGGTGGGATCTGAAAGGCACAGCCGGTGGAGGGGTGGCAGGCAGGTCTGATCTGGCAGTGCCAGGAGCTGAGTAAGCAAAGTCTTGGGAATCAGCAAATAGAGCTGAGCTGGGCAGACAAGTGCTAGGCTGGGAAGCCAAGCGTTGCCATGGTAACTGGCCCTGAGGCCGCTGCTGCCCCGCGTTCAGGCAGACTGTCTTGGGTTTTTCTAATGCTTTGAAACTCACTCGGTCTCTGGGCTGTGACCAGCTTGTCTCTGCCTGGCAGGAGGAAGCCACTGAACTCCCAGGCCTCCCTCCTGGCTAAGGAGTCCGGCAGAGGAGCTGCTGGCTGTTGGGATTGCAGAGACCAGGGTGTCCGTGGCGTCACTTTCCGAGAAAGGAGGGAAGGAATCTTGGAGACAGCCAGCAGTGTGAGAAGCCTGTTCCAAGGAGCGAATGGGTACTTGGGAATGGAAAATCCAAGGGGGAAAAAACCACCAACAAGAAAACACAGAGTGAGCGGCAGCTACAAAGTCCATACGTTAAAATATACAGCACCCGGGGGACCTGCGTTGGAGGGGAAGCAAATTGGCAGGGGCTGAAAGCTCCGTGGTTTTCTGTGCAGACGGATTCAGCTAGAGAAAGTAAGGTCTGGGCTGAGCCTGGGAGAAGCCCTTCGGTCTTGGAACTGCATCTGGGCAGGGAGGGACGGAGACCTGTGTGTCTGATCAGAGGTCCATGGTGTTGGCATGTGCCTGGCGGGCCAGGCAGGGTGCCACCATCCCAGAGGTCAAGCATGAATTCAGTCCTGACAAAATATGGGTCTCCACCTCGAAG